GTGAGAATAGTGACAATGCTGACAATACTGACAACAGTGACAACGGAAACAACGGTGACAACGGCGACAACCGTGACAACAGTGACAACGGTGACAACAGTGACAAATGTGACAACAGTGACAACGGTGACAACACTGACAACAGTGACAACGGTGACAACAGCAGTGACAATGGTGACAATGGTGACAACAGTGACAACGGTGACAACCGTGACAAAAGTGACAACAGTTAAAACGGTGACAACACTGACAACAGTGACAACAGTGACAACGGTGACAACTGTGACAACACTGACAATGGTGACAACGGACAACAGTGACAACAGTGACAACGGTGACAACGGTGACAACAGTGACAACGGTGACAACACTGACAACGGTGACAACACTGACAACGGTGACAACACTGACAACAGTGACAACGGTGACAACACTGACAACACTGACAACGGTGACAGCAGTGACAACGGTGACAATGGTGACAACAGTGACAACGGTGACAATGGTGACAACGGTGACAACAGTGACAAAAGTGACAACAGTGACAACGGTGACAACGGTGACAGCAGTGACAATGGTGACAATGGTGAAAACAGTGACAACGGTGACAACAGTGACAACAGTGAGAATGGTGACAACAGTGACAACAGTGACAACGGTGACAACGGTGACAACAGTGACAACAGTGACAACGGTGACAACGGTGACAACAGTGACAACAGTGACAACCGTGACAAAGGTGACATTAATGAGAACAGTGACAATGCTGAAAATAGTGACAACAGTGACAACATTGACAACGGTGACAACGGTAACAACGATGACAACAGTGACAACGATGACAACAGTGACAAAAGTGACAACAGTGACAACGGTGACAACACTGACAACAGTGACAACAGTGACAACGGTGACAACAGTGACAACAGTGACAACGGTGACAATGGTGACAACAGTGACAACGGTGACAACGGTGACAACGGTGACAACGGTGACAACATTGACAACGGAGACAAGGGTGACAACGGTGACAACAGTGACAACAGTGACAACGATGACAACGGTGACATCAGTGACAACGGTGACAAGGGTGACAACAGTGACAACAGTGACAAAGGTGACAAGGGTGACAAAGGTGACAACACTGAGAACAGTGACAATGCTGAAAATAGTGACAACAGTGACAACATTGACAACGGTGACAACGGCGACAACGGTGACAACAGTGACAACGATGACAACAGTGACAAAAGTGACAACAGTGACAACGGTGACAACACTGACAACAGTGACAACAGTGACAACGGTGACAACGGTGACAACAGTGACAACAGTGACAACGGCGACAACAGTGACAATGGTGAGAACAGTGACAACAGTGACAACGGTGACAACAGTGACAACGGTGACAATGGTGACAACAGTGACAATAGTGACGACATTGACAACGGAGACAACGGTGACAACAGTGACAACAGTGACAACGGTGACAACAGTGACAACAGTGACAACACTGACAATGGTGACAAGAGTGACAACAGTGAGAACGGTGACAACGGTGACAACGGTGACAACAGTGACAACGGTGACAAAGGTGACAAAAGTGAGAACAGTGACAATGTTGACAATAGTGACAACAGTGACAACATTGACAACGGAGAAAACGGTGACAACAGTGACAACAGTGACAACGGCGACAACAGTGACAATGGTGAGAACAGTGGCAACAGTGACAAAGGTGACAACAGTGAGAATAGTGACAATGCTGACAATACTGACAACAGTGACAACGGAAACAACGGTGACAACGGCGACAACCGTGACAACAGTGACAACGGTGACAACAGTGACAAATGTGACAACAGTGACAACGGTGACAACAACAGTGACAACAGTGACAATGGTGACAATGGTGACAGCAGTGACAACGGTGACAATGGTGACAACAGTGACAACAACGGTGACAACGGTGACAAAAGTGACAACAGTGAAAACGGTGACAACGGTGACAACAGTGACAACGGTGACAACGGTGACAACGGTGACAACAGTGACAACGGTGACAACGGTGACAACAGTGACAACGGTGACAACGGTGACAACAGTGACAACAGTGACAACGGTGACAACAGTGACAACGGTGACAACAGTGACAACGGTGACAATGGTGACAACAGTGACAACGGTGACAACGGTGACAACAGTGACAACGGTGACAACAGTGACAACGGTGACAATGGTGACAACAGTGACAACGGTGACAACGGTGACAACGGTGACAACAGTGACAAAAGTGACAACAGTGACAACGGTGACAACGGTGACAGCAGTGACAATGGTGACAATGGTGACAACAGTGACAACGGTGACAACAGTGACAACAGTGAGAATGGCGACAACAGTGACAACAGTGACAACGGCGACAACGGTGACAACCGTGACAACAGTGACAACGGTGACAACGGTGACAACAGTGACAACAGTGACAACCGTGACAAAGGTGACATTAATGAGAACAGTGACAATGCTGAAAATAGTGACAACAGTGACAACATTGACAACGGTGACAACGGTGACAACGGTGACAACAGTGACAACGATGACAACAGTGACAAAAGTGACAACAGTGACAACGGTGACAACAGTGACAACAGTGACAACAGTGACAACGGTGACAACAGTGACAACAGTGACAACAGTGACAACGGTGACAATGGTGACAACAGTGACAACGGTGACAACGGTGACAACGGTGACAACAGTGACAACGGAGACAAGGGTGACAACGGTGACAACAGTGACAACAGTGACAACGATGACAACGGTGACAACAGTGACAACGGTGACAAGGGTGACAACAGTGACAACAGTGACAAAAGTGACAAGGGTGACAAAGGTGACAACACTGAGAACAGTGACAATGCTGAAAATAGTGACAACAGTGACAACATTGACAACGGTGACAACGGCGACAATGGTGACAACAGTGACAACGATGACAACAGTGACAAAAGTGACAACAGTGACAACGGTGACAACACTGACAACAGTGACAACAGTGACAACGGTGACAACGGTGACAACAGTGACAACAGTGACAACAGTGACAACGGCGACAACAGTGACAATGGTGAGAACAGTGGCAACAGTGACAACGGTGACAACAGTGACAACGGTGACAATGGTGACAACAGTGACAATAGTGACGACATTGACAACGGAGACAACGGTGACAACAGTGACAACGGTGACAACAGTGACAACAGTGACAACACTGACAATGGTGACAAGAGTGACAACAGTGAGAACGGTGACAACGGTGACAACGGTGACAACAGTGACAACGGTGACAAAGGTGACAAAAGTGAGAACAGTGACAATGTTGACAATAGTGACAACAGTGACAACATTGACAACGGAGAAAACGGTGACAACAGTGACAACAGTGACAACGGCGACAACAGTGAAAATGGTGAGAACAGTGGCAACAGTGACAACGGTGACAACAGTGACAACGGTGAGAATGGTGACAACAGTGACAATAGTGATGACATTGACAACGGAGACAACGATGACAACAGTGACAACAGTGACAACAGTGACAACGGTGACAACAGTGACAACAGTGACAACACTGACAATGGTGACAAGAGTGACAACAGTGAGAACGGTGACAACGGTGACAACAGTGACAATGGTGACAATGGTGACAACGGTGACAACGGTCACAACAGTGACAACGGTGAGAAAGGTGACAACAGTGAGAACAGTGAGAATGGTGACAATAGTGACAAGAGTGACAACATTGACAACGGAGAAAACGGTGACAACGATGACAACAGCGACAACAGTGACAACAGTGACAATGGTGACAAGAGTGATAACAGTGACAACGGTGACAACGGTGACAACGGTGACAACAGTGACAACCGTGACAATAGTGACAACATTGAGAACGGAGACAACGGTGACAACGGTGACAACAGTGACAACTGTGACAACGGCGACAACAGTGACAACACTGACAATGTTGACAAGAGTGACAATGGTGACAACGGTGACAACTGTGACAACGGAGACAACGGTGACAACAGTGACAACGGTGACAACGGTGACAACAGTGACAACAGTGACAACGGTGACAATAGTGACAACATTGACAATGGAGACAGCGGTGAGAACGGTGACAATGGTGACAACAGTGACAACGGTGACAACAGTGACAATGTTGACAACATGGCGGATGCAGGATTTCTTTTAGGAGGGGTTCACTCGTCTCTTGCTCTACTTGAACACCAATAAACCACATATTTTTTTTTTGGAGAATACCAGTTTTATCAGAAAACTGCAGGTCTTGGGGGGGGGGGGGGCACAACCTGCACCCTCCCCTTAGATCCGCCCCTGCAAAATCTAGCATGACCATTGTCTTCAATTTGTCTTGGGATGAGATGACTGCAATACCCAGGAAAAATTGGAAGCAATGGTTATTCAAAATTTTCAGGGGGTAAAGAAGGTGCATTATGGTCTATGTGAAAATGGTAAAAGTTATATATTATTAGTTAAAACAATCTTCAGTCAGCCTGTGTTGTAGCCGGCCCGCGTATCGTCTAAACCATTGGTATAGCTCCATACAGGCTGTTTAGAGTGTCTGCCACACAAGCTTATCTTTACTATGACGGTGGTTTGTATGTAAAAAAAAAATACAGACCTGGGCAGACAAATGAATAGAGACGAGAAGTGATGATGTCATGGATACTAAATTTGTGAAATTATGGGATTGGTTGGCACATTCAGAAAGAGATGAAAATACCCCCTTTGCCAAAAGTTGGCCTGTTACTGCAAATTGTTGGGGAGATTAATAAAGCACTGTTATTATTGTTCAGATGACCCCATTTAAATTTCTCTGAAATAGGCCTGGGACACTAGCATAAACCAATTTCAGATCTAGTAAGGGAAAATTAATTATTGTTAAATAATTCAGAAAACATCCAAAAGTAAACTCACCCATTACAAACAATTACGGCATCAAAGAGTAGAATTTGAGACTCCTTAGTATCAGCATCTCTAACAACAACTTCCCACAGTAGCTTCTGATTGTCTTTTCCTTCCAGTGGACGAACACTGTTGATACTGGAGTTGAACTGAATGTATTTGTACAAGTCAAAATGACTGGCATAATCTTGTAAGTATTTGAGAACTTGTTGATGACTTAAATATGAGTTCCACTCTGAAGGAAATGGAAAATCAGGAAAAGCCATCACCTCTTTAGGCAGATTGGTTCTAAAAAAGCAAAAACAAGGAAAAAAAATAAGTTTCTATTTTTTTAAGCTGTACTTTTACTTTTCATACATTATACAAGGCTTTGCAATGCAATAACAATAATTTTATTCTTGCATTGTAAGGTGATAAATTATCAGGATTTAGTCAGTTGGGCAGAGTCTGTGTCCCTACACTCTAGATTTTGTAGCTCCAGAGTGTGTAGTAGATGGTATTTTAATTTTCTTTAAATATATTTGTCAGGTGGGAGACTGGAACCAAGAAATAAGAGAATTGGCACTGCGCTGGTTATAAATGGATGAGTTTCTATGACAACAATTAGCAGGGATGTCATTATCTTTCAAAGCAGGCATTTGCATCAAAATGTTCAACCCTCACATTTTTATGCCTGAGTGCTATCTCTTCCTCAGCTGATGGTTGTCACCTGTAAAATCTGGAGACTGTTTCTTGCAGTACCCCAACCCAGCCACCCCCCTCCAAACAGACACACAAAAAAAACCCTTCCCCCAATAAACAGTCAAATCTATCTTTTCCCCAAATTATAATGTGGGAAGGGGTCAGGATATAATACAAAGTCTTACGTGGCATTAAGTCAACGATGAAACAAAAAATATTATATGCTGCAGAAATCATGCTATGATTTTCTTAATTTTGGGGCAAAATAGGCTAAATGCATCTCGGAGACTCCTGTGAGCATTGGCATATATGGGTTACAAGTTAGCTAGGGCCCCTAATGACACCCATTGCAAAAATTTAGGCATTATCAGATCAGAAAAAAGTTTACAATAATATTCTTCCTCAACCATATGCAGTTGACTCTCTTTTAGACAGACACCTTTGGGACTGGCACAAAGTGTTTTTCTTAGAGTTGAATTTCCTTTTTATAGAGAGTCAAATAGAGGGAGTAACTTAATGGCAGGTCCTTGTTACAGAGAGTCAAATAAAGGGAGAAAATTAATGGCAGGTCCTTGTTATAGAGAGTCAAATAGAGGGAGTAAATTAATGGCAGGTCCTTGCTATAGAGAGTCAAATAGAGGGAGTAAATTAATGGCAGGGACCAACTCTTGGTGTCTGTGTTACTGCACAAGGTGTTCTTCTTATAGAGGTTTCTGTTAGTGAGGGTTAGCTATATTTTGTGCTTTCGTCATGTGAAGGAGGACTGTTTGACAAACACCTTATAAAGAACTCTGTCATGGGAGGCTAGAAAATACTGTCTTGTTTCATTTTGTCTGGGATTTTGTGATTTTAGATATTCATGTGATAACCAGCTTTACAAAAAATTATGGGATGGCTGTTGCATTTTTCAACATTACATTGATGATCTTCACGGGCTTTCTGACCTCCGATTTTTCAAGTTTTATAACAAGAAAAGTCTGACTTTACTAACATTCCACACTCCCTTTGTGAGTATCTAGCAGGCCTGGCCAGGAATTTTGGTATTCGGGTATCTTGGGTCCTCTTTAGTATCTTTAGTAATTAGTATCTCGATTTTTCTGCATTTTTATCAATCATTAAGCTGACAAAACATCTTAATCCATATGTTATTTTGTTTCAAGGCAATTTTAGTTATTTGTTATCAAAGATTTCACAATTATGAGGTATATTTGTATCTTATGAGTTAAAAGGAGGGTATAGTGGTATCCCACTGCCACCCCGGGGGACTACCATCCCCCCCGCCCCCCACCAACACGGCCGGGCATTGCGTAACTCAGCGTGACGTGGTGTTTTTATAAGATCCAAATGCATAGGGAAACGCAAAAACAATCTCGAAAAAACTCGTTTCGTTTTATACTGCAAACTTGCATCTGTTTTATACAAACGCTACATTACGCAATATATCCTCAGTTTTTTTTATTATCATCCGATGAATTTCTTTTTGAACGCGGGCTCACTGAGCGAGTTTCGGATGCCTGCAATTATGTAATATATCAAACCCAAAAAAGCCCGGCGATTACAGTGTCCTTTACGTACCTCAAGTTCCAGTAAATGCTAGAGTGAATGGGAAACCCACGCTCGTCGATACCTGTATTTTCGCTGTACACCCATGTTCCTCCGACACGAGAAGACTGTTCGAACACATGCACGTCAAACACATCCAGTTCACTTGTGAGGTGTCTAGCCGCCGAGAGTCCTGCAGCTCCGGCTCCGATCACACACACTCGCAGGAGCTTCCGCATTCTTTTACCAGAGGAAAGTTTTCTTCTTAAAAGTAGAGCCAAGAAGCAAGAAACCCGCTAAACTCTATGATCTCATTCCTGCCAAGAGCAGGCAGGAGAAAGCGTATCCTTTGTTCTGATTGGCTACCCGAGCGGGCAAGATGGCGTCCTTACCCGCTACGGGATTTCCCACGTTGGTCCCGCGTCCCGCAAGAAAAAGACCTCTCTGTGGCTCTATGCTTTTTTTACTATTTATTTTTAATATTATTGTTTTATTTTTCTGTTTTATAGAATTATACCCAGCGGGAGCCTCTGAGCTGGAGAGAGTTATAGGAGCCCCACCCCCGATTTAGCCACCCTTCCTCAGGTCAGAAAAATTTTCACTGTTTTTTTCAACTTTTGACATGGACAAGTTAAGGAAAATCCGTCGACATCACTGGAAAGAGCGCCTTAATATTGGTAAAACTGCCAAATTTGAAAGTGATACGCCTTAAGTGAGCGAAGATATTGCTCCGCAAAGTTGTGAAAGAAAACCTCGCTCCCAATGTGTGGCTTCATAGCTCAGTTGGTAGAGCAAGGCACCGGTAACGCGGAGGTCACGGGTTCGAATCCCGTTGAAGCCCTGATTTTTTCAGGCTTCTTCTTTCCAATTGCTTAAATTGGAAAATTTACTGCTATGATCATTCTTCACTTTCATCTACAACCGCAGTTCAAAAATGAATTATTTCATATATACTTCACATCAAAGTTGTGAAAGTTTACAGATGTTTGTATGGTAGGGGGCAAGTTTGTGACCCCCACCTTACAAACGTCTGTAAAATTTCGCGACTTTGAGAAGCTATATCTTCGTTAGTTTTTAACAAATCACTTTCAAACTTGGCAATTTTACTAATCTTAAAGCGCTCTTTTCAGTGGTACTTGTCCATGTCAAAAGTTGAAAAAAACAGTGAAAAGGTCTATTGAAAAAGCATAGAAAAGTTACTCTCTCGAAAAAACTTCAGCCTAATTTACCAAATAATTCCAAAATTTTTTTTTAAAAACTGCAACCACTGTTGTTTCAACTGTTTTAACCTTATAAGTGGTAAATAAGATGATGGCTTCTATGGGATATATATACAGCCTGAGAAAACAGCCAACATTTTGTGACACCACTGGTCAGGTTTCCCCACGAAATAACATCTGAGGGCGCTTTAGCCTGAATTTCATCCGATTACTTCCAGGCTAAGGGCGCTTTCCATTTGTCAGAACTGGCCAGCCAGACCAGTCAGTTAGCAAATAAAATGTGCATTTTTTAAAGGAATTTTTGTTGAAAAACCATCTCCTTCATGTGTACTATCATTGACTCATCTGGCTGGATAGTGTTGATACCAAGTGAGATTCTCATTATGATGGGAATGCCATCTGGCCGGTCAGTTCTGACAAATGGAAAGCACCCATAGTGTAGCATCCATATACACACATACCTTCATGTGTACATGTACAACTAAAGTACGAAATAAAATATTTTTTTAATTTCCTGAAAGAGCACTTTCTACATTAAATCAGAATGACTGATACATTTTTGCACTAGTTTGGTATCATTGTGTTAGTTATTTCCTTTATCCTTTTATTATTCTATAATTCTGATGGTGTCACTGGCCTTTTTTTTCCCGTGAACACTGTTACCTTACACACACACATACAAACATTTTATATCATGTACCCACAAGGCTTTTCAGTGAAATATTTAACAAATTTAAAATAGAATAACCTTAAATAAAATAAAACACAAGAAAAAAAATAATTTTTTAATTATTAAAATACAGGAAGTTAGATTAATTACCAGTAAGTACCTTAAATGATAAAACTATTAATTTTATTATTGGATTCTTATGCTAGCTGTGTTCTGTGATCTTATAAATTCAGTTAGGCCCTGTTTACATGGTGACTGGGGACCCCAGGTAGGTGAGGTAACCCATTTAGCGGGGAATATAACCTGCCTGTCCATATAATCTCTCACATGGTCACTCCACCTATCATGTAAACATGACCAAATTAATATGAGAGATTGTATGGACAGGCGGGTTACCTCACCTACCTGGGGTCCCCCACCTCTATGTAAACAGGCCCTTAGAGTCCATTAGAAGTCTTTTTCTCATCATAAATTCTGCTAGCTATTGACTTAACATGATATTTTGCAGCAGAGTATTCAAGAGAGATACTATTCTATAATAAAAAGCTATTGACTTAACATGATATTTTGCAGCAGCTAGAGCATTCCAGAGAGATACTTTTCTATGATAAAAAGTTCTTTGGACAGTTGCAGATCTAAATAAAGGAACATTTAACAACTCTGAGTTTCTAGTTCTGCGCATTGATATAGATGAGCGCTTAATAAACTGACCCGATAGATACTCTAGGATAAGGCAAGACTAAAATTAACAACTAACTACTGCATTTACTGAAAATGTCCAGCAGAAAGACACTGGGAATGGCATTTCCAAGACCCTAAATTTAAAGATTTTTGGGGGAGAATGCTCCAGAATAGACTTGCTAAAAGTCAACCTCTCAGTCAGGTAAATTCTCAAAATTGAGCGAAGCGGGGTTCCATGCATGATGTCATGCAGTGACCAAGCTAGCAACGAAGTCTCGAGGTCATAACCAACCAGGAAAGAAATAGACTTTAGAAAGTCAAGCCCCAGAACCACCAAGGTTGGCGTCTGTTTATTCGACAGGTTACACTGGCATTCATTTGATAAGTTTAGAATTAATTAATTTATAATGACTTAATATAAAAAAGATAAAATGATGGTAGACACTAGCTTCCAGATGACATTTGTCTTGGCCAATTTAGGTTTGTCTCAAAAAAGCTTAACCAGTTAAGTGCCAATAGTGACCAACAACAATTTTCTCCTAATAGTATCTATACATCGTCAGAAGATAAAGTTGTGAGAATTAATAAATTGATCACCAAAGGAAAAATGCCATGATCTTTTACCAAATTCTCTCAAGTAATGCTTAAAGGAAATGTATGGAGATCAGTTTGGAGAATTTGTATGTGGATATTGGGGCTTAAAAGGTTAATATAAAATTATAAATTTTTATCTTTAAAGCGACCACATTGTATATAGGTTGCCTTTTTTTCTTTCCTCCACCAAATGGTCTCTGCCTTGATGTGGCTTTTTATTCTTTCCCGATTTATTCCTTTAATGCTTAGTATTTTGGTGGTCAAGTCTTTTATGCAATGGTTCTAAGCAATTTTGTAAACTATCCATATGGCTCTCTGCATTTCTCTCTCCTCTGTTGCAATTATCAAGGTGTAAGGTTCTTGACTAAACTCCACGTTCCATCAGAATTAACCCTAAAATTGTCTTTCTTGTAATGCATCAGGTGGTATGGGAATCTTTCCTCCCTTACATAATTAAAAAGAGAATGGTATACTGGACTCAGCCTGTCAACGCCAGCCAGCTGTGCGATAATTCCATCATAATCTCCCCTAGTGCCTATGATATGAGCATGATGTTCAGGCATCCCAAGAGACAGTCTCTCCTGGAAATCTTGTTCTTCATCGGCATTCATCTGACCTTCAGAGGGCAAACTCTTTCGTCCACTCAAAACTGATGCAATGTACTGGGCTTGGAGGCTAAAACGTGGAAATGTGCAGAACTTCTTAGCGCATAGCCCAATGAACGACAGTGTTGGGTATTTTGTATTGAAAATGTGTTTGTATAAATGCGTCACTCTGTTGTTCCTGACCATGATACTGCAGTCATCGTGCAGGAACGGAAAAGAAATCATGTAACCAGTACATAATAAGATTGAGTCAACTTTCCTCTCTTGTCCATCCTCAAACATGACTGTTCCATCCATGCAGATAGACATTATTGGCCTGTGTTGTTCCACATTTTCTGGAAGTTTAGAGCAAAATGTGTTTTTATGGCTGAAATAAACTTTTTCTGCACAGTTTGCTACATCAAGACAAATATCTACCCCGGAAGGTCCACTACCAAAAATAACCAGATGTTTTCCTTGAAAGACTTCAGGATGCCGATAATTATGACTATGCATCACAAGCCCAGGAAAAGACTCCAGATGAGGAATTACTGGCAAACGAGGAACAGCAAAATGTCTGGAGAAAGAAAGTTTAAATTTAAATATAAGTGTTTTTTGATGTTGTTGTTGATTTTCTTTTTTTTTTTGCAAAAGGGCCAAAAGAGTTTTATTATGACTTAGAATACTATAGTCTTAGAATACACACTTTAGAAGGTGTTAAATAAATACCATTAGATCTTCAACGCCTTTTGTAAACTCAGAAAAGACAAACAACTAGGAATAAAATTCAGTGGTCAAACTGATGTGGGGGGGGGGATACTCCTGGGAATTCTTGGTGGGGGTGTGCCACCCAGTTGTCTAATTCCTGACAATATTTCAGACCAAAAAATGTCATTTTCCAGACCCGTTTTCAGACCAGACCGCTAAAATCCATACCCGTTTTTGACTAGAGGAGTATTTCTGTAAACTGCAATCTTTGATTCAAAAGTGATGTATAAATATTGTATTGGGAGAAATCATTAAAGTCACTAGTTCTAGGGAATGTTCCCTGAGGGATGGACCCTAAGAAAAGTGATGCGTGTGGAACAAAGCAAAAAAAAATTCCCATAATTTAAAAAATACTTCCTCTTAAAGCACTAAAATGCAACTATGTCGCATGAAAGGTTTTCTGCTCCTTTTGATCTAATCTATTGCCGCTTCTACATTTTCCAGAGAACCCTGCTAAAACCCTAATAGCCTTAAATTACAGCTGTAACAATAACAAAATGTGAAGATAATGATCTGATACATTTTGTATTGTTTGGAACAACAAAATAAAATAATAATACTGATACCTAATAATGATACCTACCCATTGCAAACAATAACAGCATCAAAAAGTAAAACTTGCTGCAACTCCTTTATTGTATCAGCATCTGTAACAACAACTTCCCACACTGGCTTTTGACTGTCTTTTCCTATCAGTGGACGGACACTGCTGATACTGGAGTTGAACTGAATAAATTTGTACAAGTCAAAATGACAGGCATAATCTTGTAAATATCTGAGAACTTGTTGATGACTTAAAAATGAGTTCCACTCTGAAGGAAATGGAAAATCAGGAAATGCCATCACCTGTTTGGGCAGATTGGTTCTAAAAAGGCAAAAACAATGAAAAAATTAACCTTCTATTCTTTTCAAGCTGTACTTTTAATTTTCGTATATTATACAAGGCTTTGCAATGCAACAACAAAATTGTTAAATAAAATTAGTGAAACATTAATTTTTACATTTAAAGGTTGTTCAGGTCACAGGAATTTTCATTAATTTTTAAATCACGCTTGTGTGGAGTTCAAAAATTCTAACAATCTTTATCATAAACAGGAAAACGAACATTTTCATTTTTTGACTTGGCAAATAACAACTTGTTTATGCAAATGACAATCAATGTGAAATGTGTCCGCAGTTTAAGGCTTTTACGATCATGATCAATGACAGATTTTTGTGAGATTAACAAGCTTGTGTCAAGCTAGTAAATTTTTAAACTTCCTGTCAATTCCACTGTCAAATGTAATGATTTTGTTGATTTTCTTCCTTTGCTTGCATCCTTTGATCTTTACAGGACCAAACAGTTTCATTTAAGGTATTCCTGGAGGCTAAATTAACGAAATTTGGGCTATGTTTGGCTGTGTATTTCAGGAGAATAAAAATAAATAAATAAATAAAGCACATTGGGAAGTGTCCAAGTCTGTTCTTCATTCTATTTAACCTCAATTAAGTTTACTAATTGTTAAATTGTGGATCTATATCAGCAAAGCTCTTTACAGAACACTACATGCATTTGACAGTTCAAACATGAGTTACAAGTAAAACAATTTTTGGAAACCAAAACACAATAGCTTTTGTTTTTGTTATTTGAAAAGATGAAAATAAGTTAAGTGACCAGGTATTCTGTAATCTAGCTCAATTTTGTACCCTGTAGACCTTATCCTGGAGATTTTTTTTATTTTTTACCGGTTGAAAATGATGTTGTAGGTTTTGCACGAATTAAAGCAAGTGGGGTAGTGATTGATGCAACTTGACAGCATTTCAGACGGACTCTCTCGAGAGAGCTTGTGACTCAAGGAGACGGCTGAAATTTCAGTTAAGGAAGCTGAAGGATTCAAATACCAATAAAATATTTTCCAAAGGTTCAAATGTCAGCCCTGGCTGGGAGGTGAGGAATGGTGCAATTTTGATGACTGAAACAAGAAAAACCATTCATCTGCCCCATGGAAGGGATTCGGGAACCTGGGAAAGTTTTGCCCGTGGAATATGGATTCCAGGAAAATTTTGCATGTGGAAACCGGAATCTTGAGCTTTGAAATCCGAAATACAGCTCAAGGAATCCGATATCCCACTAACCAATAGAAGTTAGAATCAAAGTTCCTTTGACAAAGACTGACAATCTCAATCAAGTGATATAAAGTATTTGGAAACGCCCTTCTGTAAATCAGTTACCTATCAGTCCTCCTTTTTTAATCACAGTATTAAATTAGTCTAGGTAATAGCATGATTTGTAGTGATATTTGGCATAAATACCACGAGTGATATTTCAAAATTGTTATACGTATTTTCACGAGCCGTTAGGCAAGTGAAATTTGAGACAATTTTAAAATATCACGAGTGGTATTTATGCCAAATATTAAGTACAAATCCTGCTGTTATTTGTTCATACTACTACCCACAAAAGGTTTGTAATTTTCACATGTAGGTATTTCAATTTAAGCTGAAATAACACTGCTCTAAGCCAATCAGATTGCAGAAATCTCTCCTGTAGTAGTATAATGGAACCAAATATGTAAATTAATTCAGCCTAGTGACTTTCTAATGTATCGGTCAAATCGAAGCTTCAACATTCACCCCCCAGGCAACCCCCCGGGCATTTGACTTTTTTGAAAATTATTGTTCAAATTCCCCCCTACCCGGGCCAAAATGCCGTTCAAATGCCCCACACTAGGGTCCATTCAGGTGATCAAATGCCCCCACCCCGGGGACATTTCACAGGCACAAAAATGACAGAAAGATGGCAGAAACGCCTTCAGTTGTCGAACAAAATCTTTATAAATATAAAAAAAAACTGAGAAACCCTGTTAGCCTATTTACTACGAACCAAAGTTTCATGCAAAGCAGCGGAAATCGCTGCTACAAGGTATTAAACTGAATGCTCAGCTTTTTTGCGTGATGCAACATACAAAGCCTTCTACAAAAAAAGATCCCACCTATTGAGATTACTACATCATGACCATTTCACTGACATGCATCATCGCTCACCTTATTAATTAACATACTTGCAGTAGGTCAAAGCAGTTGACCTATACATTCATACATTCAAAGCCTGAATCCAATATTATAAATTTCAAAATTTAAATACTTCAAATACGGCACAAAGCTTGTGTAAGCCCTTTCCTCGTAACCAACTGGTCACAAAGGCATAATCCAAAGCCAAAGATTTTACATGAAATCGAGGGTGCAGTTCAAATTCCCCACCCCTAAAGCATGGGGATCAAATTCCCCACCCCCTGGAAGACTCTCATAATCAAACCCTCCTCCCCGGGACGGCAAAGGTGTCAAATGCCCGGGGTATGCCCGGGGGGGCATGTTGAAGCTTCGATTTGACCGATACATAAACATAAAGACTTTTAAGAATAGTATAACTAACTTGTACAAAGATGAATTAGCAAATGTCTTTGACCCCCATAAACCATGTTCAAGGGGGTCTTGCACGTAACTGTGGGTGCCACTGGCAACAATAGTTTAATAAGCATTTCTTAAGATTTTTACTGATTTAGTTGGGAGGTGCCCTGCATGGCACTCCAGGTCCCGTTTGCACCCTTACCTTTTGGTCTTTTTTTTTCCGTTACTGTAACTATTTATTTAGAGAAACTCAGACCAACAAAGTTGATAAAACAAAACAAAACAAAACAAACAAAACTGGTATCCAATAGCTAAAATCCGGAATCCACAGTATGCAATCCAGAATCAAAGACTGTGATTCACTTAGTCATGGGGGGATTAATTCATCAAGAGTGTCGGAAAGGAAAGGTTCCAGAAAACTGATTTAAAACAATACTTATACTCAGTGTCCACCAATACAAATAACCCGCTATACCTGAGATTTCTGTAAACGCTGGAGTGAACAGGAATCCCACGTTCGTCGACCCCTGTATCTTCAGTGAACACCCATGTTCCGCCGACACAAGAAGACTGTTCGAACACACGCACATCAAACGCATCCAGCTCACTTGTAAGATGTCTAGCAGCCGAGAGTCCTGCAGCTCCGGCTCCAATCACACATACTCGCAGCCGAGGCATCTCTTAAATTAACAATCAAACTCTTACGCTCATAAAAAATATTAGATCTAGAACCAGAACCGGTACTTTGCACCCGCGGCTCTATCTGTTGAGAAGGAGAGGCTGCTAAGCTCAAATGGCGGGGAACCTGGAGAGGCGTAGTTAAAGATTTGAACCCGAGCGGGGGCGCTGATCCTGGAACAGGCGAACAGGCTATTTCCACACCCGTTTTCGGGCCTTGGTTGTTCAACGGCTGGATAGCGCTGTCCTCCAGATAAATCTTTATCCAGTGGATAGTGCAATTGGTTTCCCCAATACTTAGCCGCTGGATAGTGATTTAGAGACCAGTCATAATTTAAGTTGGAGGGGGGTGGAGGAGAAATTGGGGACCTTCAATTTTTTGGATGGAATATGGGGGGCCTTAAAATGTCAAAAGATGACCTTGGGGGGGTCTTCAAGTTTCTTTTAAGTAGCAACCCTACTGAGCAGCATGATGTTTGAGTATTAACGGACCTGATTTTGGGTCTTGACAAAGTGCGAGCCAGCGAGTCATGCGAGTCATGCGAGTCATCATGTGAGTCATGCGAGTCATCATGTGAACCATGCGAGACAGATGTTAGTTCACAGTCCATTTTCCTTTCTTCGGCTTTTGGCAGCTTTTGGCTATTTGGCACGAGTGTTTGCTATCCTCGCTCTCTGTCGAGTAGACTGAACTTGCTATTTGAACCTTGTTATTGTTTAACTCAGCATGTTATGCGGTCATGTCATAAATGTATGCGCACTTGCAAGTCACATGGAAAGTACTGTATGATCAGATCGTCATTTTGAAATATAGCTGTGTTTGGTTATCGAGATTCTGTTCCTTGTCTGTTCGTTTGTCTTCGTTCACCGTTCCCCTAAATTATCAGACTGTTATCTAAAGACCCACACGACATTTTGGTGCCGAGACCAGGATAATCCAACGCAGTATGGCGGAAACTCTCCCGAAACTAACCTCTTCACGTGCGGGTTATCGTGCTCACTTAACGAAGACCTTGAACAAGGCGAAGGATCTTATGAAGAAGGAGGCACCCACCGAAATGGATGTTGTATCGCTTAACAGTATCATTGAACAACTTACACGGAAGAAGACTATTCTCACCGGACTGGACGAGAAAATTGCGGCGCTCATCGAAGAACCGGAGGATCTCGAGCAAGAGATTTTTGAGACAGAAGAAATCCATGATGAAATTCTAGATACCACCAGCCAGATAAGTAGATTTATTCATGTCACAATATCTCCTAAGAAATCTGCTACCCAGCCTCCGTCCTCCACTCATCAGGAATCTCCACAAATGGTATATAATGAAACCCCACTCGTACCAAGTAACACGTCCGAACCCAGCACTTCAAACAGTCACGAAAATACCCCACCCACTAGTCAAGCAGCCTCTGAGGAAACTGTTAATAATCAACCGAATTCTCAGCCACCCCTGAACACACATCCACCGCCTCAGACCTCTCAGTTGAATGTTAACCACAGTAGCCGCCTTCCCAAACTGAATTTACCTACCTTTTCTGGCAATCCCCTCAACTGGCCCACATTTTGGGATTCATTCGAAGCAGCTGTCCACTCTCACACCACATTGGGGGGAGTACAGAAGTTTAGTTACCTGAAGGCCCAACTAACGGGGGTCGCCTCAAGGGCTATAGCTGGTTTCCCACTAAGCAATGTCAATTATGAGCAAGCCATAAAACTACTTAAGGAACGTTTTGGGCAACCCAGTAAGATCATAGGTGCCCATATGCAAGCTCTCCTG